CCGAAAGAAGACATTTATTGTCGATCAATTGTTGTATTAGCCACATTCCAAATTTGGAAAGATCCCTGACTGTATTACGTAGAGTTATGGATTCTAAAACTTTTGATTTATTCTGTACCTACTCGTATTCATTTTTCAAAGGAATTACATTAATCGACACCCATTCAATTTTTAGGTATAGCTATATTATTAATCCGCGAATAATTAAATTCAAATCAATACTCCAGTTATCCCATATGTAGGCATATACTCTCTTTTTCCAAACATGAGAGGAAAAAGCATAATTAATTTCGATTTGAAAAAAGAATCTTCATAGTGTATACAACCTAAAGAATTGTTCATAAACTACTTGACCTACTATAACATCCAAACATGTCAGCTATCGTAACTAAAATCGTAGAAAAATACAATCTCAGCTCCGAGACGAGTGTGGCTAATCTCAGTCAATACACCTCAGAGTTTCTTGAGAATCTAACTGATGATAGAAAGCAAAATCAGGCACGCAGACGCCTTTGGGAAGGATTTAAATTTAGCAATGAGCAGGTAAGTATATTGATACCTAATCAGAGAGCTGGTAAAACCAAAAACATAAATTTAGTTGAAGGTAATTGTAGAATAACTATAACCAAGCCTTCAAAAAGTTTGGAAGAAGAGATCATCAGAGAGAAAGCAAAACGAATCTTGCAAAATAGATATGGGTTTAGTGAGGATCAAGTGGAAGCCTTATTCTCTGCCCAGGAAAACGAAAGTAGGTTCGGAGAATCATTGCTTTGCAGGACTGAAGGAACGACCCTAAAGGGTTATAAGACCGTAAATATGTGTCAAGACACTAGCTCCGCTACTGCGGTTTCCAACAAACCCTCAAAAGGAATGGAGGAAGAAACTATTGGAGATATGGTGCAACGGATTTTACGAAATAAACTTAGCATGAGAGATGTAAGAGCCGAAGCTTATGCCTTAGCCCTATCAGCAAAAAATGCCAATGCTGGTTCATCACATCTCTCTCGTCTTCGTAGAGAATTAAGGAACCTTAATGCATCACTTGAGATAATCGAAGCTACAAAATTTCCAGATATTACAGAAGATGCTAACAAAATCCAGAGTGATAATTGGAAAAAGGCTAAAACCATTAATTATCCAGATGAATTTACATTAGAATCGGTCTAAGAAAGATTAGATGTGTATGATTTAAAAACCCCACCTAATTATCAGGCTCTTGCTGATGTTATGGTGATGCTTTGTATCCGCCCTGCTGAACTTACAACTTTATGTATTACAGACTCTGGAGTGACAGGTTATGCGAAGAATTGAGGTCAGCCAGGTATTCCTAGAAAATTTAGATCTATGGAGAAGGATCAAGAACGAGCCAAAGAACTACTCACTTGGATTCAGCATGCTATATCATCTGGATGAATGGGTGATCCAGGTAAGCCAGGAGTTAAATGGTTCAATAAATTCTTAAAAGATTATGATTTAATTCCTAAATATTTACGTAAATTAGGAGCAGTTTACGGTGCAGTATTACATAAAGCTGAGAACCCAGCCCACGTCTATACCATTGCTGGAGAATGTCTACACCACAATTCCGACAACCATACTTCACCTGTGCAAAATTACGTTGTAGTCAATTATAGAAAAAGAGGAGTTCCTTATGAACAAGCAAGACCATTTCATATCTATGATCAAGATTAATTACGCTTCTTTACTTTTGATTCTAGACATGGGCACTGATTGTCGCTAGCTGATTTTTTGACGAAAATTTCATGCAATTGTTGAAGAGAGACATTCGGAAATAATGGTAGTCCCTCACCAGTAAACCAAAATTTTTTTACCCCTATATCAGCGAATTTCTTTATTAACACACCTAGATCATCTTCTAAGGGGCCATGAAATTTCTCAAACTTCCGGAGGTACACTCTCGCATTTTTATCAGCTTCTTCTGCCATTTCTTGATTAGTATAGCCAACAATACCGATTTTTTCCTGAATTGACACTATATCACCTTCTAAGCATAAAAGCAAATCAAATAATCTAATTGGTTTATCTGAAGAGGTTTTATCCCTTATAAGTTCCGCTTCTAAAACAGGATTAATATCTATACCAAGTTTCCCCTGTATAAGTATTAAATCCCCCACCAATTCTAACAATAATTCATATGAAACAGCAAGATTTTTTGCTTTCTTGCTCTCCATCACTGCCATTTGATTTATATTACTGATAATACCGAGTTTTTCTTGAATTGCAATTATATCCTTCTTCTTATATAAAAGCACTTCATATAAAGGATCATATGTTTCGCTTTGATCGGATTTATTATTAGTATTACTTATCATATTTGTTATAATAAAATAATATATTAATTGCAGAAAAGCTAAATTACAATTAAATTAAAATCACGTGTACCGATCACTTTGCTAAAAAAAAATGAATATGTCCCGATATATGTAGAAAACTTCTATATCTGGTTAAAAATTTGTACAAATTGAGTATGGATTTCTTCCCATTCTTTCATCAGATCGTCTAGCATGCAGTACTTAAACCGCTTTTTAGTATACTGCGACGTAATAACTCTTCTCCGATTAGCCTATCCCGATCTGTTAAAAATTTATGATATTTTCTAGTATCTTCCTGCCTTTCTATTCCACCACGGTAAAAGCGTATATCTCTCTCCAAGTCTTCACAGAAGCATCCCATGGCCCACCTATCTTTTTCGGCCTTAGTAATAAACGAAAATTTCTCGGGATCAAGGTCATTTTCAACAGCATATTGATAAAGGCGGGTTTTGTTTGGATGAATTGGTGAGTTACTAATTTTGTTTGGTACCCTTATTTGAATTTCTGGTAAGCTCTGTACAGCAATAATAACTTTTTTTTGATCGCTACGAAAAGGGCAATTAAGAAAATAGTGATCATTTTTATCGAGACAGCTCCAATCACCCCATATACCTCGATGTGTATGTACCTTTTTACATACTGGACATTCAGCTTTTGAATCGGTATATTTAAAAACATCTCGGTACCATGCATTTGAATTAGTATATGATAGAAAAGGAAAACGTTTATGTACGGCTTCAATGATCACATCTTTTTCTTCTGGAAATTTAGAAATCTTGATTATACCTGAAAGATGAATATCGGCATCCTTTTCGATTTGTGAAGATTCAGGTTTTACCCAGGGATCGAGCCCAGTCTCTTCCGTATACGCTCTATATAAGATCAAACGAATTTTATCAGTCAAAGAACTTGGTAAATCATCCAATTCGGCATACCATTTATAGTAGTCATCAGTTAACATCTTGCCGGAGGCAGTTATGGGGTGGCTAGACGAATAATCTTGTTGTAAAATGGTGTTAGAAGACATGTTATCATTTTATAAGAATACAAGTCAATTCAAAATAGTGTGGCTGTCAAAGAAAAAAATATTACTGTTCACTCACTGTAGTTATCTACTTTATGCCTCACCAATAATAAGAGAAACGAATTGGCAGAAATAATCATCTTTATTAGTAGAGCTAGTGTGCCTTATGCTGTTATTTCGATCTCACACTTTCCGCATATAATAAAATAGGACCCAGCTTCGTATTTACCTTTTACACTTTTCCCACCCTCATGACTTTGCTTACATATTGGACATAATGATCCCTCAATAATATCATAGTAATCAAATTTTTTGTTACTACATGTTTTATATAGACTAGAAGAATATCGCAACAATGTCTTATTACGAAAATAATCACGATCATGAGTCTGTTTTTCGGGTAAGGCTTTCTCAGTAATGGATTCTGAGGCAGATGGTATACATACCTTGGACTCCGGTAAAGATTTGAAGTCCTCAGTATGATTTTGATCGTTTCCCTGGGAAACGGTTTTTGAGGTTACTTGATTTATAATGTTTTGAATTTGTGTATTGGTTAATTTTGCAATATCATTTGCAGTGTAGGTAACATACTTAACTTTATCAATTCAACTCCATTTTCTCCAAATAGCTTACGAATTTTTCTAGCTCTAAGAGTCTTAATTCGCAAGGCAACTGATGTAACACCTGATAAATGCTCTAACATCTCTTTGTATATTTGGGCTCTTGCAGTTTTATCACTAACTCCTGTCTTATGTCGAATTTCAATAACTTTATTCTCAAAATTATCTGAATAGCAAATCCAGGATAAAATTTCTTCATGTCCAGATCGTATAGCTTTTCTAAACAAATTAATTAAGCTTTGTGTTGTGATTTTGCCGGAGGCAGTCACAGAGTGCTTAGATGATGATTTTTCATTATCCACGATATCTTCGGGAGGCGTTTCTATAGGATCAGGTGTAATAATAAGCATACTATTCCGTAAATCTCGTATTAAATCTAATTCTATATTTTGATTTTTAGTAAGCTCAATTTCATCAGAATCGTCAAGATCCTCCGTTGGTAAAGAAGTATTCATGATTGTTTTTTGCTGATCGTTTCCCTGGGAAACGGTTTTTATATCACATGATAAATTATTATTGCCTTGCAATGAGGCTACGCCTCTATCCGAAGATAAGTTTTGATCCCGAAGTCTCTTTTCCCTAATTCTCTCCATTATTTCTTTACTAACCTGTTCCTTATACCGCAGATCCAGAAATTCATTTTCTTCCTTCTCTTCCAATGATATGGCTTCTGCAGAAATAGGGGATGTGGAGGTCTCTAATTCCTGTTGTATATCGGAATTGCTGGAGGTAGACACTTCGTGACTAGATATGATAGATTCCTCATTACGTGGGATTATCTGTTCATAAGTATCTTTGCCGGAGGCTGTCACAAAGTGGCTAGAATTTGAAGTAATATCAGATATATCAGATGCCGAAACATCCTCAGTTTGTACATCTATCTGTTCGGGGGTATCGTTGGAATTTTCCATTTCAGTAAGTGTGGTATTAGCCGAAGATTTTTTAATTTTCATAATTTCATCATCTAACTTTGCCATATGAATGGTCTTTTCATTATCTTTCTGCTCTAGATTTACGAACCTAGTTTCATAATCTTTCAAAGTATGTTCCAATTCCACAATTCTAGCTTTGAAACTCGCTTCCTTAGTCAAAAATTCAACCTTTTCCCTTTTTAATTCTTCGATCTCAGCGATAAGTTTGGAATTCTGTTCTTCTAATATATTGACCTTGGATTGCGTATTTGCCATTTTTATACAAGATGCAGATATGTTCAAAAGCTAGAGTGAAAAACCACATGACTCTGATCGTTTCCCTGGGAAACGGTTTTTTTTGCCAAGAAAAATTCTTGATCATATATACATGTCATCAATAACAATATACCAAGAAAAATCAGAAAAAATCAGATCATATACATGTCATCAATAACAATATACCAAGAAAAATCAGAAAAAATCAGATAAAATATATAAGCAAAAAGTAAACACGAATATATATGTATATGAGTGAAATCGAGCCACTAGGGCTACTTTATTGATGTAGGGCTTAGCCCATTGCTTTGCAATAAAAATAAAAATATATATATCGTCCCTTTATTGTTACAAATAAAATGTAGATATAAGATAAGGTTGCCACACTTAAAAAAGCGATTGAAGGTCTGTTGATAAATCAAGGTCACCAAGAACTTTCTATTAATTTCAATCTCTACGCAATTATTCCTATGGAATCGACAGCCGAGGTTTCTGAATATTTCAATGCTACTCCAGTTAACAGCCTAAATCAAGTTAACCTTATCATAAAACCAAAGGAATAATTATTTTTTTTTTATTTACGTCTGCAGTATGTAACTGCGATATGATTTTTTATATTTTTATGTTGTTATTTCAGTAACATTTTTTATATATCAAATAAAGTAAGGTTCTATGTAACCATTTGTCTCGATCAGAATTATGTGGATGTCCATGCTTTATTTTCATCAAAATCACGTGCGCGTGAAGATTCTTCACGCCGATCACTTTTGCAAGAAAAAAAAATTGAATGTGTCTCAATACTTTGATATAATACGTCATTATACATAAGATATTAATATGTCTCGCAAATCTAAAAATAACAGACGTAAGACTCAAGGTAGATTCACTACAAATCCTACGCAATATATACAATTTCAAAACCGGAATAAATATATGCATGTTATGGAAGGAGAACATATAATTATCATAAATAGAAATACTCAAGATACGAAAGCGGTATTCGACTACGAAGAGGTATGTAGATATCTAGAGATAAATAATCTTGATTCGGGCATTCTCAATATGTATAGGAATTAATTGGATTTTTTTTTTCGGATATTTATATGGATAGCTTTATTAATCAAAGAAGTATGAGAGAAATAAATATAAAACAAACCTATGGGGTAGATACCGTAGAATTGTCTTCTATATATCTGTCCGATCTACGTATAGATGAATTAATCAACAAAGACATATTAACGATTAAAATGTTCCGCATAGTCAACAAAGTCATCACAAATCTTGCCACAACTGTAGGATCCGATTGTTGCACAGGAATTTCACATTCACATAAATGAAAATATCTATCTACATTATCCATATCTCGAACAAGAGTATTCAGTTGCATCCTACGCCCAGCTACTTGTATCCCAACAATCCCAAATTCGTCCTTATTAGGCCTAATGTTTTTACGAACCCAACACATCCCATCATTTGTTTCTCGCCACAACTTCACACTATCATCATTCTCTTTTTTAGTTGTGCAAAATAAACGCGAACATTCTGTATACACGAGCTCGTAATATTTTCCAATATGTTTCTCTACAAACATAATGTCAGGTCGTCTTCCTGATTTCCCTTCGCCTCTCCTATCCGCGCTTGCAACGCTTTGGCGTTCAGAACTAAAAAAATCTATATAAATATCAAAAAATACTATGTAATACTAATTAATTTCTTCTATACTTACGTGCTGACAAATGTAGACTTCCTTAGCGGGAGATTGTTGAGTGTAGCACGAATAGCAGGTACTATTACATTAGTCACGTAGGTACCCTCACTTTGAGATACAGCAAACTCATGACTGAACGCTGGATTATTCCAAGAGTCATTCCTAATGCAATAGAATGATTTGAGTAGGTTGGCAAATATTAAAAAATGTTTCAAAATACACTCACAGAGTATCCAGAATTTTCATTGCAACATTGGCAAGTTCTTCATCAGTTTCCTTCCACATCCCATTATGCGAAAGCATTCGTGGCAAATCTACCACTCTATTCTCAATGAAACTGGCCACGAATTCATTACATTTACTTTCTACTAATGGTGGGAGAAACTCAGGTACCATCTTCCGTGCTGGTTTCTGATAATAGAGTTAATTGGAATACACTGATTGTGGTATATTATAATAATAACAAGAACTTACCTTAAAAGATTGTTGTAATTTATCTGATAACTGTTGTACCAGCTTTGAATCATCACTAATAACCTGGCTGGCTAGAGGATCCTTCCATGACAATTCCGAAACATTTATCGCCTTCACACCATCATATAACTTTTGATAGAGCAACGATGTATTTTTCTGGACAAAGTACCTCATATGAGAATCTTAAAAATACATCTTAAAAAATCATGTAATACTTACCACTAGCTTCGCTTTCAACTTTCTTATATTTTTTCTAATCTCTTCCAAAGTCTCAGGTACTTCCTCATTCTATGAGTTAAAAGAACATACCTTATAAATATACTATATACTCGTTAACTTGATTGAGATAGTAGGAAAATAACGTACCGTCTTAATTGCTCCTATGTCACGCAAGCTACAAACCCCTTCGAAAGCGACCTCAAACTAAAGCAAAGATATAATAAGTTAATTTTTCATTGATATGCCAATTTCGACCATAACAAACGCATGCGCTGTCAGATGCTTGCAAAGTTATTATCGTTGTGCGGCCGTCACGCAGATAAAACCTTGTGTGGTACTAAAACATCCACATAATGGCTCACATAGTTATACGGTTAAAACATCCTCCACGCGTTCGAGGAAGTAATTCCTGTAATTGCAGGCTAATAGGATGTCTAAACTGTTATGTTCGCCACCTCAGGGTGGTACCACTTTCGCTCATCATTCAAGCTCCATTCCACCCATAAAAACCTGACAACTCACCCGAGGAGAAATTTCAAGAAGTTTCAAATGGCGTGGGGATCCTAGAACAATGTTATTATTTGCTGACGCTATAGCCTGGTCCACAATATCTCTTAAATCATCCTTCAATATCCAGGGCTCTTCTTCTATCCCCTGATAAATAATTGAGGTGGAGGTAATATGTTCTACCTGAGCCGTTACTAAGAAATTGTAAATTTTGGTATACAATTCTGTATGCATGTTTGAACGGTTAGATTTGAATATAATTTTTAAATTAACTGGAATTAACGATGAGAAAAAATTCCAAATAAAAAACAATTAATGTTCATAACTTCGATATACTGTCCTTTTTTAAACGTTTTCATTCATCTCTTTCTACGTCTTCTTTTGGATCTATAGAATGTAGTGTTGGTCGTCAAAACTATTTTGAAGAGATGAAAGTCAAAACTAAAATTAAAAGTTATATGTCAAAACTAAATCAAAAGTCAATAGT